CGTTATGTCTCTGGGTGAAAAGCCTCATTATCTCATGTGCAGGGTTGTTTGCTGGTTGTTTCCATGATGAGGCTGATTCGCAAACGTCTCTTGGTCAATCTGCTTGAAAAATCTTTGAAGAGTGTGAATGTGTCTGTCTCTCTCTCTCTATTTCCTTCCCTCTGCTGCAGCCACACATCTGCCCCCTCCTCTTTTCCTCCTTCCTGACACCTTCTCAACTCGGAGGAATGACTCTCCTCAGGACCGGGGTTAAATTGGATATGAAGGCACCTCGGGGGGGATCGCGTTATTCTGGAATCTCGACTACGTCACGCCCTGCGTCACATCAATGTCAGGACTACGTCAGCTGCTCACTCTGCTCTGCACGAGAGGGGTCCTCAAAGCCGCCCATACCTTGGTATCTCATGGTAACAACCATCAAGGCCATGTGTCATACGTTGTGTCCTGCTCGAAAGGAAATCTTAGTCCACAAGAAGTAAAGTACTTTATTGAGCTCAAACATACCTGTAGTGAGAATTACTCCAAGTTGTGTGTATGGGTCAAAAAACAGACAATACCGCAAAACTGATGATGCTTTGGTGACTCAAAACTGCTTTTTATTTGGGGAAAGTAAGGTTCTGAGATGCTTCTTCCTCACATTGTTCAATATCAAAGTAGCTTATTTTGAATTAAATAAGAAGAAGAATTAATATGGAGAAATATATAAATGAACAAATAATTGATTCATTGAGAAATTATTAAACTCTGAATTATTATTTAATCTTTCTTTTTTTTTAATCTGCGTTCATGTTTCATAAAGCCATTTTTATTTCATGTTACATTTTATTTCATGACATGTGGGGTTGTCAGCAGTCACTGCCTTCTCACCTTTCAGCCAATCACATAATACCTGCTTCTCTTAAGGGAGCTCGACCACTGCTACGGTATTTAGCCAGTTAGCTCTTGTTAGCTACAACAGGCACGATGCCAAAGTAGTTCTGAATCAATTAGCCAGAGGCTACTGCTGTAAATAAAAGAAATGCACAGTAATAAACATCTCCTTCAAAGGGATTGTTTTGGGTTTTTGAAGTGGGGCTGTATGAGGAACTTATCCGTTGTCATTGTATTACCTGCTGAAGATGGCAGCGCATCCCCAGTTTGGAGAAACAGAGAGCCGTACCGCTGTGGACAGGGTTAGCAGCAAAACATAATTATCAATATCAGTTCAAGTGTACACTATATTTACAATATTTTAAGTGCTTACCTCGCCGTTAGACTGCCATTTCCTACAGTGCACACCCAAGTTGCGCTATGCAAAAGCAGAGCAACAAGAGAGTGAATACTGGACTCACACATTGGGCTTGGTCAGGTGGTTAGAAATGACTGGAAATTAACAATATTGTTGCTCCATAACTGTTGGATGTGTGAATACTTCCCACTACCCCCTCTCTGTGGTCACTCCAGCAAAAAGGAGATCTTAATCTGGCTGGTCATGAAAAGTGACATTATGAAATGAAAAGTTATATATATTATATGGGAAAACAGACTTCAGAAAAAATATATAACGAAAGTTTTATGATAAGTTATTATGAAAATGGGAATGATGAAAAGATAGTTCATAATAATGATTTGAGTTTTAATAATTATTTCACACTTTGGTGGCTCACATGATTATTTCTTTCATAAATAATGTCTTTCCTATTTATTTAATTTGAACACTTTGGGCTTCCATAGCTTCTGGGCCTTTTTATATGAGTCTCTTTTTTTGCTCAGTGCAAACAAGTGAGTAAAACTATGAACATGGTGACAAAAGGTGACTGATGCACTGGGCTGATTCTGGCAGAGCAGGCCAGTTTGTGTCACTACCAAAGTGAAACAATCTGGATCTCTGCGCTCTGTGGCACCTTCTCAGTCTGCTACAGCTAATTGGCTCCTCTGAGAGCCACGTACAGCCACTCATACACATATAGTAGATGCAGACATCCACGCAAACACACACCAACCGAGATCCTCCCAGCCATCTGTTGGGGGCTCGCACATACAGGTGCTCCTCTGCTCCTGCTGTCCCAACTCAGTGCTCAGGAGATGTTTGAGGTCCCAGCAGCCTGCTGTTGTGTTTGATCAGCGATACCGTGAGGTGTCTTGTCATTGTAATTTTGCAAACCAGCAGTTCACGACTCATCTCTGTCCAAACAGCCACCTCTCTCACGGCCTCCAAACCCCTCAATGCTACTTCTTTGTACCTGAGTGCTGGAAATATGCACTTCACAGAAAGAGATCACACAGATGCAACAGAGTACATGTCACACAGCTAACATGCTTATCCAGTCCTCCTCCTGAGCCGATTATACCCATACATTAATATACTGTAGCACGAATCCACTGCAACACACAGTAAGTAACCCGTGTTGCTCTCAGGGTGAGCCTGAAATGTAGCTCTGCTGACATCTAGTTGTGGAGGCAGGGAACTGCAACTGAGTCTGGTTAATTTTACTGTGCCCCTTGTGGGAAAATTGTCTTGGGGCTTCTTTTCTTGTCAATATTAACCCAACTCACTGGGATTGAGTTGCTCAGTAAAGTCAAATTGGACTCATACTAAAAAGAAACTTGGCAATTTTCACTGGCACACATTCGGCATTTTAATATGTCACAGCCAGGAAATGCACTGGCATTAATAACATTAATTGAGAATAGAATAGGGGCGGCTGTGGCTCAGGAGGTAGAGCGGGTTGGCCTTTAATCGGAAGTCTCTCTCTCTCTCTCTCTCTCCACACTCACACACACTATTCTAAATATTTGATTATATCTTTTCATGTAACAACACTGAAGAAATGATACTTTGCTACAATGTAAAGTAGTGAGTGTACAGTTTGCATAACAGTGTAAATTTGCTGTCCCCTCAAAATGACATATCACACACCCATTAAAGTCTAAACTGCTGGCAACAAAGTTGAGTACACCACTGAGTGAAAATGTCCAAATTGGGTCCAAAGTGTCAATATTTTGTGTGGCCACCATTATTTTCCAGCACTGCCTTAACCCTCTTGGGCATGGAGTTCACCAGAGCTTCACAGGTTGCCACTGGAATCCTCTTCTACTCCTCCATGACGGAGTTGGTAGATGTTAGAGACCTTGCGCTCCTCCACCTTCTGTTTGAGGATGCCCTACAGATGCTCAATAGGGTTTAGGTCTAGAGACATGCTTGGCCAGTCCATCACCTTTACCCTCAGCTTCTTTAGCAAGGCAGTGGTCGTCTTAGAGGTGTGTTTGGGGTCGTCAGAATCCTGCCCTGTGACCCAGTCTCCAAAGGGAAGGGGATCATGCTCTGCTTCAGTATGTCACAGTACATGTTGGCATTCATGGGTCCCTCAGTGAACTGTAGCTCTCCAGTGCCAGCAGAACTCACATAGCCCCAGACCATGACACTCCCACCACCATGCTTGACTGTAGGCAAGACACACTTGTCTTTGTGCTCCTCACCTGGTTGCCGCCACACACGCTTGACACCATCTGAACCAAATAAGTTTATCTTGGTCTCATCAGACCACAATGCTGGGAGCACTCATAATTTCCCAAAGACAACCTCTGGATATGACGCTGAGCAAGTGCACTCAACTTCTTTGGTCGACCATGGCGAGGCCTGTTCTGAGTGGAACCTGTCCTGTTGAACCGCTGTATGGTCTTGGCCACCGTGCTGCAGCTCAGTTTCAATCTTCTTATAGCCTAGGCCATCTTTATGTAGAGCAACAATTCTTTTTTTCAGATCCTCAGAGAGTTCTTTGCCATGAGGTGCCATGTTGAACTTCCAGTGAGCAGTATGAGGGATTGTGAGAGCGATAACACCAAATTTAACACACCTGAGACCATGTAACACTAACGAGTCACATGACATCAGGAAGGAAAAATGGCTAATTGGGCCCAAATTTGGACATTTTCACTTAAGGGTGTACTCACTTTTGTTGCCAGCGGTTTAGACATTAATGGCTGTGGGATTTTGAGGGCACAGCCAATTTACACTGTTATCCAAGCTGTACACTCACTACTTTACTTTGTTATATTTACACACATGAGGGGTGTACTGACTTTTGTGATATACTGTATATACTATTCTTGTTAATTCAGTGATGACAGATTACCATCCAATACATCTTTGTGTAAACAGATTTATCCATACCTTATGAATTTCTGAGATGCTTGTTGTGGATATTATAAACCTGTACATGCTGACGTAGGGTTCAACCTGGGATTACACCTGGGTTAAATCTGGTAAAGTTAATATATGGTCCTTCTACAATTTGAGGAATTAAATTGTACTCGGTACCTTTTGGGGCAGAGGGGATCATCAAAGAATTGGCAAGGGAAGAGAAGAGTTCCACACATCTGAATATTTAGACCCTACTGTTGTAAGCTCTCTGCATTGTTGCCATCTTCTCACACAATCTCAAACTGCAACATTCAAATTGACAACTTGGCCTTAAACTGCTTCACAAAGCTACTTTGACACAGGTTATGAATCAGTGCAATAAAATTAAGAATAAGGACTTTTATAATAGTTCTACTTCTGTTGCTGGTCGCCTCCTTCCCACAGTGAAACTGTCCAAACCAGTTTCAGACTGACTGAAGTAACACAGGGTGTGTAAGATTTTCTGTCCTGACCAGGTGTTAACAGTTTACCGTGTCAATTGTGTGAACAAATACTGTGGCACCGATTACCTCATGCCCTCTCTACACTTGGAAAAAAATTCAGCTGATTGAAACAAACAAATTGATTTATTAAAGAATAAATACACATATATAACTCCTTAAGCTTTAAATGAGTGTGGCTCATTTAGGGCTACATCATGGATGCGTGTATGTACTGTATATCACCTGCAGTATTCAAAACCCTCAGCGAGTAAAGGCAGCACTTGAACTACATTTTCTGTGCAAATATGGATGTCCTGTCTGAGTCATCTGAGCGAAACTGTCACAATGATGATGGATTTTAGCATTTCTGCCAAAAATAAAAAAAGAGTCACCGGTTTTGAAGTCAAAGAAATACAACTTTATTTATGTGTAAACAAACAAAAAAGAAACAAACAACTGCATAGGAAATGTTTAAAGTCCACAGAGTACAGAGAGAGCAGCAGGTGGCCAATATATTATAGTCTCCTTTGCCTTATTTAGACTGAAGACCTGACATCTGCACTAACTCACCACAGTGTGTGAATGTGTGTTAAGAGGGAGGGAAGGTGTGCTGGCAAACACACACACACACACACACAAACACAGCAGCCTGGCTGAGGAAGCGCCAGCAGCACCCATCTAAACTCAGCAGGCCACACTGGCTCGCCCTGCCTCTTGGACTGTTAGGAAGGATACATTCAGTGGATTTCTGCTTAAACAAACAGATGCAGCGCACAAACACAATACCCGCTCCACACCAAACCAGCTGCTGGGAGAACAGGACACAAAAGAAACAAGAGTTTGGACAAGATGAGCTGCCTGTCAATCCCTCAGGCCAAACACCCACCATCTGGGGAGGATGACATTAAAGCTGGTTTATAAAAGAACACTGTGCTGCATGTTCCACTACAACCACATGATTCCACCTAAATAAGTATTACTGCGGTGGAACATTTAGCACCAAATGTTAGGGAAAAATTACTTTTTGTCTGTGGTCTCTTGTGTCTTGTAAGGCTACCAGCAGCTGGTTGTAGTTGAGTGAGCATCAACAAGATCCCATTTAACCCCTTTCTTCACATAATACATTCTAAAAGGGCAAATGAGCATCGAGTGGTGAGACGTATTTGTACGTTTTGTAAAAGAAAACAAAAAAAGATTAATGAGGGGAAACTAATCAAAAGCCTTATTTCAGATTTAGAAATCATTAGTTTTATAATATGTAAATGGGCACACAAAAGAATCAGCCTAGTACTGAGAGGTCACAACGGGGGGAGGGGAGTCACTACATAATCACTATGGGACATGTTTCATGAGACACCTGCAGGACAGGGCTGTTGAGAACTACCTGAGTTATATTTTTTTCCTTTCTAAATTTTCCAACCTTTTTTTTTTAAATTTCTTTCTTTAGAGTATACAATCATTAAAAGGAGGTCTACAACCTTGCACATGTCACCTGGTGCAGCTTTTCCTCTCTTAAAGCCACGAGGCCAGAAATAAAATGGCGGACAAAAACCACAGGGGCCCAATAAAAAAAAAAAAAAAAAACCCCAAAACCCCCTTGCCCAGCCGAAAAGGAGTGCAGTCAAACGGTCAGCAGCCATCACCACACTTTCTGGAGAGATTGCTAGCTTGCCCTGGAGAAACCCAGCTGCGTCTTGGATGACAGTGAGAGTGTTCCTATTACTAGGTTGGAACACAAAATGGCTGGCTTATGGATTTATCACTGTGGGCAAGCAGGCTCAGCAGGAAGTTTTTACAGCTTCCTAAAGTTACACGGCTTGAGTGTGAAAAGACAATATGTTAATATGTCTACCCATATTATGTATACTGGAGGGAGTTAAAGAAAATTAAGCACTAACGGTCGAGGGGCACACCAGCCTTCTGCATTTATCTGAAAACTCTGCCTCTGTTGTTTCTCAGGAATCGAGGCATGGCTGGCTGAATAGGTTGTGCTCTGTAGAGCCTCTTGAGAACAAGAAATACAATCGCAAAGGTCAAAGGTTAATTCCATCTAACGCACTCCTAACACACATACACATCTTTGGGTATATATTTTGGTAAAACCATCCCAATAGTCAGCTACCGACCCCAATTGAGTTTTTCAACACCTATCTGAGAGACGTCAATATAATACAAGGACTTTTTAAAGCATGCAACAAAATGAAAAAAACAAAAACAAATTAAAGGTTTAAAATACAATTTTCCTCTTTAAGAGTGAAGACCTAAGGATCTTAAAGATAGAATTCTGCAATCTTAATTAAAAAACAAAACAAAAGTGATGCAACATGAATGAACATTTCACAGAGTAATACTGAAAAGCACAAAACAGTCTTGTTGGTGAATCTAGGTGTTGGGTACAAAGCAGCAGGGTCTGTGGACGCAAACCGGCTTGCCATCAGTGTGCCAATAGCTCCACTTAATAAACCAGCCTGTTGTCACACATTAGTTGTAATCCTCTGGGGTGTTTGTTTAAACCACAGTCAGAGGGGTTGAGCTTGTCCCAATGTCCTCCACAACCACCATCAAGCATCCTAAAATTCGCACTGAAATATTGGGAAATTGCGCTGAGTTAAATGTTATGTGTTCAAAGGCGGATTTGTGAAGTTCTTAACTCTTTACAAGAGAGGCCACATCCTCTTCCCCTCACCCCTAAGTAAGAAAGTACAAGTGGAATCTGCATGCTCATCATCATGAGGTAAAGATAAAATGGGGCCCAGCCCTCTTAAGTGCATCCAATCAGAGAGCGAGGATTTATTCTCAGGTGCTCTGATTTAACCATTTGTATTTATGATATAATGATCCAGTGACATTTGTCGTCTACAACAGCGTTGTCCAAATGCCAACCCTGTTTGGCACAGAACTCTGACTGATCATTTTGGCACAATGTTTTCATCGAAAATATTTGGTATTCTTGATGATAAATAGGCATAGTTTACCAGGCAATTTACAGTAGGCTGAACAACCTAAAGGCTGTTCAGGGTTGGAAGGTGGAGCAATGACCGTAACAAATCAACTCAAAACAGTACCGTGATCTTTGGTCCTAGAGCTATAGGGCATGTACTGTAACACAAGAAGATATAAAGAATGAGGTATATTCGTAATGCATAAATATCTGATGAGGTATGCTTAAATAAAAGAGTAAAAATGAGGTATTCAGAATGAGTAACAAGTTGAGGTATTTGAAGATTTCAATGCACAGCAGTTGTGAGTGACAAACGAGGTATTCAGGAGTTGAGGTATGCAAGAAAAGTTGAGGTACACGATATCTGAGATATGACGATGTAAATCCTGATCATGTGCAGACGGGCCCCCTCCTCAGAGGTGAGGGCCCGTTGGTGAATCTTTTCATAGGGTCCAAGGTTCCTTGCTAGTCTAAGGAGGCGGCTAACAGAACGTTTTATTGTCTAGTGCTTCCAGTGGGACACAGATGGAACGAAGGACAAGGGGATTCAAAACCCCACAATGTTTTCACCACAGAGTTAGTACCTATTAGTTTCTATGGTAAATAGACTGGGATACAAAAGCTAATCTGAGATGCTACTTTGAGCCTATGGGCCATCTAATAATGATAAAACCGGGGTGTCGTTTGATGGGCTGAGTTCATAAATGCGCGGGGGAGGAAGCGGTTCTTCTTTGGTGTGGGTATCTTCTGTTCTCTTCACAAACATCTCTGGAGACAGATGAAAAGGATCGTCTTTCAAATATCTGCTTCAGACAGCAAGGGCCTTGGTCTTAGCAGGATCAAAGTACTCATGCACAATAAATCTTCTAAGCCTAACGAGGACAGTGCTATGAGCCCAACTCCATGAGTTTTATAAACTTTAGACTTCCCAGCAAACAATGATTATTTAAGAAAACATTTTTAAAGGGGACTTTTTTTTTTAATTGCCAAACCTAGTTGGCCATTGTGCAGAAATTCTAACTTTGGTTGACTCCAGTAGTGGCTCTATAGACCTCCGTCTTTGGAGGAATCAGTCTACTAGAGCTCAATCTGGAGAGGTCTCCTCAACTGCAAAGATCAATAAATAGGGCAGGCTTTGTGATCACGCCCTCTCATCGGACTGGACTAAATCCTAGATCCAGCCAAAGGAAGTGGCTTTTAACCACAATCTAAATCCAAAGGATTGTAATATTAGGCCTTTTATTTGAGCCAAATTAGGAGTCTACTTGTGAGGCTTTTGTCACACAGCATGCCTCACCAAAAAGGTGTCATTCAACTACTTGATTTAATATCTACGTTAAGATCACTAATAGATCCAGATCTTGGAAAATCTCTCTCTAAAATCCTTTGGTGGGTCCTCCCTTTTGAAGGAGATGCTGCTCTCCTAACATACTAATCTTTGCATCTTAGTTGTTCTTGCAGCTGACTAGGCTATAATGACAGAAGTGGTCTTATTTAATCAAAAACATTAGTCTTATGAGACACAATTGGGGGCAGGGGTGTGTGGATGATCAGACACTTTGGATTATTTTATTACAGGGCTTATTTTGGGGATCATTTCCTCCACTTTATAATTTTATTTTGTCAATAAATCCATCAAATCAGCATTAGCCATTAAAGCTGGAGGGTTAGCCTTAAAAGTACTGATTATTTTTAAATCAGTCCTACCTGAGCTAATTTTGATTCTAAGTTTGGCATCACTTCGCACACTGCTTTTAGACATGACACTACAAACTCCACAAAGCCACGAAGAGACAAAGGGTGATGCATAAGCGAAAGACTACCAAGCCTAAAACTGTGAAAAGGAAACTACTGTACCCTAGTATCCTGTCCTCTCTGTAATGAGAATAAATCATGCAGCCTCTACAGCGGTCTGAGTATTGTCTCAGCAACAACATTCAGGAGGTTCACTTTAACTCATATTTCAAAATGCACAGCAAGAATTCTATTAATCCTGTGCAAATATCAACTGAACAGTCTATTCTTTTTTGTCTCTCTTAAATAACAAACTATAGAGGTAGACTTTTCTTCTCTGTAAAACTTCACGGACTAAAACCTCTGCTCAGTGACTATGAGTACATTCATAAAGAGCTAAATGAGGTAGGTATGGAGCAGAGGGTACAAGATTTTAAGAAAAGTGAGAAATTCCCTGAGATGGATACTTAAGGAGAGCGTACAGAGAGAGTTCAGAGCAGCTGAGAGTGAGGTGGGAAATATGGCTCTTTTTCTACTGATTATCAATTTGTAGAGGCCCCCCTTTGTCATACATACCACACTTATTGGGAGTATATCAATGTAAATGGAAAAAAATATCATCTCAAGTTTTAATTTCCCTTCACTTCAACACGCTCTAAATCCTCTCTGAGCTCTCCTCCTGTTGTGTCTGTTGATTCATTCTCTATCCTCCATTTCCTTCATCGTAAAAACTGCAAAAGGGCAAACAGAGGGAGAGAATGTAAAAAATAAACATTCTTTAGAACTTGAGGATGCGATTATTTCCAAAGTCAACGACCACAATGACTCCGTCAGGCGTCACAGCCACACCTGAGGGGCGATCCATCTGTCCATAGCCACTCCCCTGTGTGCCAAATTTGCATAAGAAGTTTCCATTGGGCTCGAACACTTGGACTCGGTGGTTGCGGGAGTCTGCCACAATGATGCGGTTCTCCTGGTCCACAGCGACGCCCTGGGGTCGCAGAAACTGCCCGTTCCCGGTGCCCTCAGAGCCCAGAAAGCGAGCTGACTGGCAGTCCGGCCGGATGACCAGAAGCCGGTGGTTGTTGAAGTCGGTCACCACCAGGTGGTCTTCGTGGTTAAAGGCCACTCCTCTGGGAGAGTCAAAGTGTTTCCACAGGGCCCCCTCAAAGCCGTACTTGTTGAGGAAAGAGCCGTCAGGGGTGAAGAGCTGCACACGGTGGTTCCTGGTGTCCGAGACCAAGATCTTACCCGCAGAGTTGACAGCCACATCCCAGGGATAGTTGAACTGCCCGTTCTTGGTACCCTTTTCTCCAAACTTCAACAGGAACTGGCCCTCAAAAGTAAACACCTGTCAGACAAAGCAAATGGCTTAGGGCCCAACATGTTTACATCTGCAGCAGAGAGAGAGTAAGCACAAGGAGCTGTGTGTTTACATCTGAAACGTGTTGATTGCGTCTAAGTGGGTTTTCATACCTGCACACGGTGATTGTCCTTATCAGCCACAATGATTCGTCTCTGACTGTCACACGCAACACCCGCTGGACGATCAAACTGACCAGGCCGGGAACCCAGAGAGCCAAACTTATGGTGGAAGGCACCGCAAGGCTTGAATATCTGGAGAGGGAAGGAACAAAAACATTGCTTATCGAGTCCACTTTAATGGTGGAACAACATTGGAAGCCCTCACTTTGTGCCAGCTGTTCTGTAAAGCTCCCACATGCTATGCTAAATGTACTGGTGAAACGGCGTTGTGTTTGTGTGTAGTTATTATAGACTGTAGACTCTGCTTGGCTTTCTGCAAGCACTCTAATGTACACACAGCTAATGTCTTTACCAAGCAGAGAAATACACGGATGTGACAACCACTTAAGCACATGAGTGAGTGTTAAGTTGTTAGGGCCCTCCTGAAACTATAAACTTCAAATTTAGGCCGTTTGTTCAATTTAATACAGTGCTTTCATAGTTTCATCACAAAAAAAACCTTTTAGTGACTGTGGCGCGCGTGCGCGTGCGTGTGTGGAAGGACAGATATAAGCTTCATGCACTTTTCAACATTCAAACAAGTTTCCTAAAGCCTGGTGTACACTAGAGGATTTTCAAATCTTAACTGATTTTTAAAATGGGGATAAAACATACATAATGACAGAATTAACCGATTTTTTATATTTTAATCTTAAGAACGCACACACCAGACAATTGTGACGCGGGACCACACACACTTGATGTTTATGCTTAACGATTTCAGAGTGACGGTTCAGGAGACTTGGTATCTCACAGACTTGCATGATCAAACATGACTTCAGACATAAACATGGAGGTAGACTGTCGTCGTCAGCCAGCTGCACTTGTGTGCGCTATGTTTTGCACGGAAAAACAAAAAAGACGAACTTGTGGCTGAGAAGAGGGAATAAGCGTGGTTTATACATTATATAGGGTTTCTGATCAGAGCCACCCCGATTTCAAGTTGGGTTTGACATTTACGATTAGAAATTGGGTTGCGTCCGTTCCAGCCGGCGACCTCAAGATTGTGTCTGCAAACCCCTCACAGTACAGGATCATTTGGGCTGATAATCAGTTCAGACCAGCCTTGGCTTGTAAACGCCCCTGTGATTGTTGGAAGGAGCGAATAAGTCCCAAAATCTGCCCAATTATCCTCTAGTGTGTGGCCAGCATAAGTAGACACAGACACTCTGCTACATGAACATTTTAGTACAAAAATCAACAGTGTTAAGTTGTGATTAACTAATGAGTGACCTATAAATATCATTACTCTAAATGCAATATCTAAGTGTTTTCTTTCCATTTACTTTATCCACATTTATTGGCTTAATTGTTTTCTTAAGTGCTGTAAATAAAAATTGTGTTTGACACTGGCCAGGTGTAGAGAAGAAAGCTTCATAACACATTGACCACAATGTGATTGTAGAGAGACTGAGGTTCATGCTCTACCTGTATGCGGTTGTTGCTGCGATCGGCCACCACCACGTATCCCTCCTTGTCCACGCTGATACCCCATGGACGACACAGCTGACCATCTCCCTCCCCCTCGCACCCGAAGGCTGACACTTGGGAGCCCAGGGAGCCATAGCTCCGCCCTGACTTCACGATCACCTTGAAGGGGCTCCCCTGGATGTGCTGGTTACACACCAACACCGACACGAGGTGCTCCCCCTCACATTTAGGCAGGTAGCTGACGGTGTATGAGCCATTCTGGTGGTCCGATACCTCTGCTGTAGACAGGTTACCATCTGTGACTGACATGACTATTGCAGACACTGTGTCCCCGCCGGAAAGACGTGGCTCGCCGTCATGGTCATATCCGTTCACAGTGAAGGAGGCTGGCTTGCCACGAAGAGCGCTTTTTAGACCCTCGCCATGGGCTTTGGTGACCGGGGCAAAGGCTCCGCTGCTGATAAGGCCCATGGACTGGATGGCTATGTACACAGCCTGTGGGAACCATGATGGAATACATTCAGTCACTGTCTAATTTTTACATCAGGCTCAGTAAACATAGCAATACAATCCAAATTGTAGGTACTGACCACTTGGATTCATTATCTACAGGGTCCCGGTGCCTACCTGGTCTGGAGGAGTGAACATGAAGCGATCATCCTCTTGCGGCTGCAGCAGGCCCCTCAAAGCTTTGAGTTCATGGATCTGGGTGAGCATTCGCTCCCTGGCCAGCAGCACATCAAGGTGGCGGCCCTCGTCCAGCATCTGGCTGACAGCATCGATGGTGCTGTCCAACTTGGTCAGACTCTGGTGCAGTTTCTCCACCTGCAGGTACAGAGACTTGGCTTTCACCTGACGGATCTTCTCCACCTGAAAGGAGACAGAACCAGAGTACAGAATGTTTGCAATCACCGAATGGGATTTAATTGTTCGAACAGTATAGAAAGCATGTGACAGACAGTCAAAACACAGATACAGTCGCATTCATTTTTGCGGTGACAACTACATGAACAATAGAGAGCAATGTTATTAAATAATATTTTTTATTTAAAAAATTATTCACTGGTTGATTTACTACCTTGTAAGGGCTTAGCAGTATTTGAGTTGTGGTTACCCTCACTGTAACCACTTCTTCCACTGCAAAGCAAAATTTGATTTAGTTATTTAATGTGTGTATCTTGATACCACAGACAGTTAATAGCGAGGCTGGCCACAGGATGGCAGCAGTGTGCTGACCATGTCTGGCCATATTCAGTAACAAGAAGAAGAAAATGGGCAACATGCAGCTAGTTGCCTGCACACCAAAGTTTGATTGGGTATCAGCAATTGACAAATTGTAAATAATTTGTGATGAAATCACGAATTTCTATTACTTCAGATTACATGTATTTCTGTGATTATTTCTGTGGCTTTTGTGAGCAGAAATTCAACTCCACAAAACATTGCGTAACCTGATGTAAGTGATCAAGTTTCTTCTTGCCTTAACAATACATATAACAATAAGATTACATACAATACATTGAATAGTGTATATATTTTTATATAAAGAATACCAGAGTCAGGGCTGACAAAACTGAAGGGGGGGGGGGGGGGGGGGGGGGGGGGGGAGCACTAAAGCGTTAAACTGCTGGGGGTGAATTATTTAGCTAATCATAAAAGTTCAACATAAACACATTTTTGTCACGGTGAGAAGCCAGATGAAGTTACAGTACAGTCAGAGAGAATAAAGCATTGAAGATGGTGGTAAAAGCTGAGAAGGGGCTGGGCTCTAACTTACCGTCACCTAACAAAAAGAGTATAAACACAATAGCCTGACTGCCTCTATGGTTAGAAGGACTTTTGATAGTAGGGAGGGACTCTGAAAGAAACAAAGAGTCCACAAGAGAGGGGTCTTTTGTTAATCCCGCACAAGTGGAACTGCAATTTGAATCTGTGAGACTAGAGTTACACTTTATAGTCACAGAAGACAAAGACTCAAGTAAGGCTTGAGACAGACAAATTCTTATAGCTCCTCCTTTGACGCCGCTCAGTGCCAGAGTTGGTATGAATTTCACAGAGCAAAAAGAAAGAGGGAGACTTTGATATTCTTTGATGCAACAACTACTTATAAGTTACAGCTTCACTTCAACTCCTGCGCTACACATTCACACAATAACATATAGAAGACACGCCCAGACTCACACCCATAGCTTTCCAAGTTAAATGTGTCCCCTGTGAGTCACATTACAGTACTTCTGGCATGACACAGTGTTGAGTCAAAGTGTCACGTCTTCCTGGATTCAGTGTAATTATCCCCCCCCCCCCCCATCACTATCAGCACAGGCAGCCATCAACACTAGCTTGCAGTATGAGAAGCGCTAGCGGCGTTATTTCCAACATCTTGTATGATTCAGGAGTTGTTCAGCTCAACTTGCAGGCTTTCTGCATCTGAGCTGAGGAAAGCAGCAGAGCAGAGCGGCGTGCAAAAGGTGGCGGGCAAGAAAGTGCCGGAGAGCAGCCACCAGTGTAGCATTTTTGATGAGCTGAAAAACTCGCTTGCATCTCAACACACAGCTACATACTTGTCACAAAACGTGTCCGTCTGTCAGTAGAGGGGGAAAAAGGAAAGACAGAAACGGTCTGTGTGTGTGTGTGTGTGTGTGTGTGTGTGTGTGTGTGTGTGTGTGTGTGTGTTCATTCTATGGTTGCTTGTAATGACTATCAGGTCAGGGATAAAGAGCAAGTCCTGCAGTGGTGTAAAAAGGATTAAAGGGGGAACTTGGGTAAGTGAAACCTTCTTGGTGAGACTTTGACCTGTACACACATGAGCTGTAAGATGTGAGGGAATAAGACACAGGTCAGTTTTTACAATGTCACCGAGCCTGCTCTCAGAACAACAGTAGAAAGGAGAGTTTGGTGAGTGTTAGGCTAAATTATTGGTTATGTTCTGTCATGCCTAAAGCAACACATTTGCACACATGCACATACTATCCGGTTTCAGTCACAATTGATATGATGCTGATTTTGTGTGTTTGTGTGTGTGTGTTACACGGGTAAAATGACATGCATGTGGTACAGTCTCCTTTTTATGTGGTTATTCATTTATTACCAAAGGGTTAGGGATTTGGAAGCACAGTTTAGGCAGGGGCGAGGGGCCTCAGGGATGAGGGTTCTTTATTTCACCCAAAACCCCACTCGTTCTCTGAGTAACCTTAAACCTGGGTGGCCCTTGCAGAAGGTTCCTGAAGAGCAGGCTGCTGAGCAAAACGGCTCCTTGGTTTTGTTTAGCTTAAAAAAAGTTTTATTAACCAATCTGGACAAGACATCATATGCTCTACTATAAGCAGACATCAATATTCACCATGAGGGAATCTAAGCATATAAATTTATGGGTATTCTGTTGTTGTCAATTTGTTAGGTAACCTAGCTAAAACTACTGCAGTCGAACAATATTCATCTTTTATTGACCCTTACTTTGTCAGTAATCCAGGTATGGATGTGAGTGGGTGGGTTTGGATGAGGATGTAGGATGTCATATTGAACATGTTTAATGCATTATGATTTGACTATGAATAAAATATTTTTACAAGTAAAGTAATTTATGTAAAACTATGAATAATATATTTTAAAGTAAATTTATGGTAATTATCCTATAGTGTAGGGACTGTTTGTATCAAAGCCCATTTTCTTAGAAGTTTCTTTTTTTATTTTATTGTGCCTCCTATCCAGAGGTATTTGTTTGCTCTTTTAATGTGTTACAGGTGGGAATGCATTGAACTAACACACTGCCAGTGAAATAACCATGATGCCTGCAATGTGCATGCCACAAAAACAGTTTTGTACCCGAGAGTCCCGGTGTCAACAGGATATTTCATTAGCATCTGGGTGAAAAGAAGAGAAAACACTAGTATGCAGTATTGATTACACTATTATTGGCACAATTGGCCAATAACTATCAGGCACAGGGGCCTCAGACCACATTAAAACTGAAATTGGCAAATGAACATTGCCCAGTGTAAGAATTGACAGGGCACTGATGAACATGATGGTAGCAGCTCACCTTCCACAGTAGTTCACATTCCCTCTCCTCCAGCGCTTTTTTGTGTCTGAGGACAAGGGCCTTCACTTCAGTCTGCACCACCTTGGCTTTGATCTCCACCTGCTCTGCCATGGCCTGCACCTTCTCCATGCTTAGCTGAGGAAACCAAACACAATATGTGATCTTACTGATGTGGCATAGGGTGTTATCAGCTTATTTGACAAGCAACTGAAGCAGGAGAGGAGAAAAAAAAACCTGAATTTTATTAATGACCACTTCCAATAATGATGGACCAAACAGTGAGGCAGAAACAAAAAGTCACTGGATGTGGCAAAAAGCAAAGAAGCTTGATGATCTCTCACTCAGTCATGTGACAAAGGACCGGACAGGACGTCTAAATGCTCAAACACACCAGCTGGTCTGTTTTATTACTCAGATGGGATACAGATGAGGCCCAGAAACAGGATGCAGAGCATCAGGAAACATTAAAAAAAAAAAGGACACTGTATGTGACATCTTCCTGGCTAGGAAATGCACAAACACCTGCTCAGTTTGTGATCTATTCCTTTCTCACGTTTGGCAGCTCCTTTGAAGATGAAAAGGAAACATTGGTCACGAATAGGAAGTCACTTCACACCACACAAAATGATGCAACTTCCTGTTGGGCTAATCCTCTTCTCATTCCTGATATTCAAAAGTTGGCATTGCAAAAACAAGTCATAAGCACTACATTTGAAACCATTTTCCTCCCCTCACAGTGCTGAAAAGTTTCCAAAGTTGACATTGCATGCTTGGTTAGACTCTAACTTTAGACAAAATTTTATTTAGATTAGTTTAAAGTTCTTTATTTAACACTAATAAGTTTGACATGTTTATGTAATATGGAAAAAAAAAATTTTATATTCTATTCTGTATGGTATTGACAAAATATTGTTTTGGTATCAAAACTCAGGCACTATATAACCAAAATGTTTCAAACAACACTCAGCCCTATAGAGCAACATTAAAAGAATTACTTTTGGTATAGTAGCTGGGATTGGCTCCAGCCCCCCGCAACCCTGTACACAGGATAAGCGGTTGACGATGGATGGATGGACTTTTGGTATAGTATTTAGTTAAGACTGAATGTACGAAATATCTCCTTTTTCTGTTTTTAAATCCTGCACATTGAAAAAGTCCACCTTAAAAAAAAAAAAAAAGGTTTTAGCTTCCATAACCCAATTTGGGATAAATGCACATTTTCCTTTTTGTCACCCTCCCCCCTCCGCCCTGCCCCCTGCTTTATCTGGCTTTTCCTCTAGCATTTTCTGGGAGGTCACAGGCTGAACCGGACCTCACAGGGACGAAGGGGAGGAGGGATAAGGCTTCCTTTGTGATATCGGCCGCAGGGATCAAAGATCACCTAAACCTCTGCAGGTCATGATCTGCAACCCCTGTCTTAAGACACATACCGCCCACCCCTGCTGCACCTCTGCAGGAACAAAGCCTGGCAGCAGGGTCTTTTCTCTTTCGCCTGGCCATTTGAGGTGGGCAGCTAAAGAGACAACTAAATCAGGCCTCCAGAGAGGAAGCAGCAGCGAACGAATCCTGGAAGAATCGGAGGAGGACTATTATCACGACAGAGTGAGGAAGGAGGCAGGGTGAAAGATAAAGCCACCACCTTTCTCCAGTTGTATCTTTATTCTTATTAGTATTCATTTATTTTTTTCCCCTATTATTCTTTTCTTAATCTTTCTGAGCTGGAGTGAGGGAAAGAGAAAGAAATCTGTCTCTCTTTTTAACACACTTCATATTCAGTCTTCTTCTCTCATAACTGCCCTCTACGTCGCTGTTTCCATCTTCTCTCTTTCTCTCAACATTCCCAGAACAGCACAGCTTGGAATACAAAGAGGGTCAAAATGACCAATCAAACCGCAGCGTGAAAGAGCTCTGGCCAACCAGGAGGTCCCAGGTCCAGGGTCAGAGGTCAGGGAAGATAATGGGTGAGGAGTGGGCGGAAATTTCCTACCTCGAGGGACAGGAGCGCGTGTGCGTGTGCGACGTACGTGTGTGTGTGTGTGTGTGTGTGTGTGTGTGTGTGTGTGTGTGTGTGTGTGTGTGTGTGTGTGTGTGTCTTATCTGCCGTCAGCATTTTCTCTCATGGTGACCTGGGGCAACATGGACAAACACACCACAAACACTGCAACGTGTTGCCAGATGGCATGCAGGGTTTCTTTTGGCTCAGCTGCACAGATCCTGGTGCTTTCCATTCAATAAATTGTTGTTGTTGATTTGACTCTCATTGTTCAAGAACAAGCGAGTGCTGCTGTACCTTGTTTTAGTTTTAAATTTTGCCACACATGTCCTGGAGTCTGGCATATAACGGAGTTTATAATATATATTTACATACATGTGAGAATATTCCAGAATTAAAACTTAAAAAACAGCCCAAGCTTTTTATTCCTTTCATACAAAAGCTCAGCAAAGATGGGAAATACTATGAAATTGTTTATTTAAACTAGTATGATTATTACTTGTATAAAATTAGGCTATGAAATAACATAATACAGACAGCGCATCTAGGCCAACCTCATGCACGGACTAAAGGGATATAAAAAAATATATATGAAGGAATAGATACATATTTAGACTTTATGACCGCTTGAAAAGTCGCCACTTTTCCTCATCTTTCGTTTATCACGCAGGTAAATCTGAATAAATTATTCTTTGGTGATCATGGTTTCAGTAAAATTTCCTGAACAACTGAATTGTGGAGAATCTAACGATGTGTAGCATGTTCATATTGGCAAAAGTTTAAATGCTTATATTTGTATGTACGATCTAAGCAGCTTAGAACTAGCTCAAGAGTGGTGGGTGGGCTTTAAAAAGGTTTTACACATCTAAAGCACTGCTGGTCAGCACAAATTCTGCGTTTGACAAACCGGTGCAGTGTCTGGACAAGACAAAACTAAACAAAGAGGGATGATGGGAACGACGACGCAGAGTGACTGTGTTTCTGACTCTTTTGATATTTTGGAATTTAAAGAACACCTTGAGTGACATAAGTGCTCATCCATTAAGGTACAAAGTGCAAACCGGTCACACAAAGGTCAAGATCTGCTGAGGACGCCTGCATGTCACATGGCTTAAGTGGAACAGCTAATGTTTCATGTTTCGGGAGAAACTTTACCAAGGTCACAACACTGCCCCACCTTCCAGGCAAATTGGACAATGCGTGCGCGTGCGTGCGTGTGTGTGAGACAGTGACCTATCACTGTTACCCCCTTTTAGCTGTGGTTTCAACACATACCTCACAGGACAATATTTTATACACCACTTATTTGCATTTTTTATGAACGTGTCTTTTTTCTCTTTTCTCCAGTGCCACCGTGAGGTTGACATTTGTGTTTTGTGAGAAATATTTAGACCTCAGAATGAATGTAATAATAACAACAACATTTACATATATAGTTATAACTTAACTTTTCATCCAGCCCCATCATCAGGTCAGTCAACCTGGCATTCTTACTTAGCTCAAAGTACTTAGTATGACTAAATAAAATGAAGTGCTTATGAAAATTGTTGGTAATTTGTTTAGTGTCAACTGACAATCAATGACAGCAAAAAGGCACACTAAGACTGCTGAGGCAGTTATGAAGCTTCACTTGCCCATATGACACTGTAAAGCTGGAATCTACTGGGGGGGGCAGGTCTAGAAAGCTGCCACCCAAACCATAACTATGTAAATGCAGGGTGGCAGTTTGTGTGGGAGTGAGAGTAAGAGGCGGGGGAGTGAGAGAGTGAATAGCTGAATAGGGGGAGGGCAAAGTATTCCACTTCTTTACAAGAGGAGGGGAGTTTTCCTCTCTCTGAAATCCTTTAAATACCTTATCCACCCTCCCCCATCGTCCTCTCCACTCCTCATCCCCTTTGACCTTCAGCCCTGCCCCCACCACACCTCACCCCATGCGACCCTCCCCTTTTCAGGGCCAGCTGGACACCTCTAACCCCAGGCTTCCCAGCAGCCTAGGACTGGTCAGTGTCAAACAGATTCAAGCTGATCATCTAATAGCTGGTGGCGCTGTGCTGAGGGACGATGGAAAGACACAGCTGCTGTCCTCAGCTTCTCCTGTCTCTCTAGGAGACGGATGAGTGTGGATTTGTGTGGTTTGACCTTCATAAGGATTGTCTTTTCGTCAGACTTTGGAGAATCATGCAGAATAGCGCTTGGCTTCGACTATTTGAGTCCCTTGGTGTGATGCAAGAGCATTTTCTTTTGATGCAAAATAAGAACATCTGGCCACAGGGTTAGGGTTAGGATTCTTAAATTGATTATTTTCTGATTTACCTTTTACAACACTTTGTACTGAGACAAAATACAAGAACAGGTGTCATTTCATGGAGGTGATAGGTTTGATTTAATACTACTGCCTTGGTTCCAGATTTAAGGGGCAGAAAAAGCAAACAAACAAAAAATAACTGACATTTCCTTTTTAAACCCCTTTGAATGTGTGTCTGGGTTCCAGTCTCACCTGTACAGCCTGTCGTCCCTGCTGTGCATCTGACAGCAGCTGGATGGTGATGGCCCTGCAGTCCTGTACGGCGTCTTGTAGATAAACGAAGGTGTGGCCCATATGACGGCCCACACTGCACTCCCTGCAGATAGGCACCGAGCAGGTTTCACAGAAGAACAGGAATACCTGGGATAACAGAGACATAGATGGACAAATTAGTGATGTGTTCAAAATAGTATAAACTGAAACTGCACCTGCCGTTAAACAAAAAAACTGTTCTAGACCACAAATCCGATTGGGCTTCATATATGTATCCTGAAGGCTACACTTACAAATTGACAAACTTGCTTATTTAAGAAGTCGGATACATCTACAATTGATCAGTCATTTTGAGTACTCATTGGGCCTCATTCACCAACGTGTGTAGAAATGTTCTTACTTTGCACACAAAAAGTCAGATTTATGACACGTGAAGACCAGCCAATTTTGTTCTTACCAATGTTCGTATGGTAGTGAATCAGAATCATTCCAAATTGACAAGCGGGTACCTGCTATATCGGCATGCTGCCATGCCCCCATTTCTATATATAAGGAAATATGCTTGATAATTGATGAGGTCAGACAGGGTGTCATTATCTGTGTGTATACACATGGTCTGAGGCAGTGTTCACAGAGTTCAAACAAATTCAGGAGTGAGAAAATATTGATGAATCACTGATTTGTGCGTAAAACGTTCGTACAGTTTAAGCACAGACCCAATTATCGCTCAGACTGACACGCGAAAATGTTTTGAGAATGTTTGAGCCACACTATAATGTTCCTCTGTGTATGCATAATTAAATGACGACCTTCACAGCATGAATGGCACATGAGTCACCGTTTTTGTGTAAAAGAAGTGCAATATTAAAAAGTCCATGCTATAACAAAAATATACCAAACTTACCCCAAATCAATATTTATTAAGGACGTGTCCATTTAGATAGACCCCCAACAATTACTGGTATGATATTGAACTTTGGCAATGTGATAATGGTCAACGTGTTTCAAAACAGATGCAAAGACATATCTGTCGTTGTCACACTTCTTCCCGTGACTTGATAAGAGGATGAACCAGCTCTATGCAGGCTAATGCGTTTTACTTCTGTGAGTCACCAAAGGCATGAAATGAGACTGGCAGCATGAATACATTAATCACAAAGTGTCACCTGTTCGCAATCTCACTCACCCACCCCCCCCCTAATTACTGAGAAAAGACCATGAATGATAAAGAAGTCATCCATATGCATGTGTTACCAGGGAGGCTCAAATAGGCCAAAACACAGAGCCAGAAGAAGCACAGAAGGACTAAAGGGCAGCAAAAATAGATCAATACTCATTCTGGACCATCTTTGAACATCTGAGGACGAGGGCCATAAAGGGATGTTGCTCCTGTTTCCAAACCATTTATTACCGTAACTAAGGTAGCAACAGTGTCAAGCTTGTTGAGATTTCTGCGTGTAAGCTTTTAGTTTCACCTGTATTTTATTTTTTATCTCTCTGTGTCATACATACATACATACATACATACATACATACATACATACATACATACATACATACATACATACATACATACATACATACATACATACATACATACATACATACATACATACATACATACATACATACATACATACATACATACATACATACATACATACATACATACATACATACATACATACATACATACATACATACATACATACATACATACATACATACATACATACATACATACATACATACATACATACATACATACATACATACATACATACATACATACATACATACATACATACATACATACATACATACATACATACATACATACATACATACATACTACATACATACATACATACATACATACATACATACATACATACATACATACATACATACATACATACATACATACATACATACATACATACATACATACATACATACATACTACATACATACATACATACATACATACATACATACATACATACATACATACATACATACATACATACATACATACATACATACATACATACATACATACATACATACATACATACATACATACATACATACATACATACATACATACATACATACATACATACATACATACATACATACATACATACATACATACATACATACATACATACATACATACATACATACATACATACATACATACATACATACATCATACATACATACATACATACATACATACATACATACATACATACATACATACATACATACATACATACATACATACTACATACATACATACATACATACATACATACTACATACATACATACATACATACATACATACATACATACATACATACATACATACATACATACATACATACATACATACATACATACATACATACATACATACATACATACATACATACATACATACATACATACATACATACATACATACATACATACATACATACTACATACATACATACATACATACATACATACATACATACATACATACATACATACATACATACATACATACATACATACATACATACATACATACTACATACATACATACATACATACATACATACATACATACATACATACATACATACATACATACATACATACATACATACATACATACATACATACATACATACATACATACATACATACATACATACATACATACATACATACATACATACATACATACATACATACATACATACATACATACATACATACATACATACATACATACATACATACATACATACATACATACATACATACACATACATACATACATACATACATACATACATACATACATACATACATACATACATACATACATACATACATACATACATACATACATACATACATACATACATACATACATACATACATACATACATACATACATACATACATACATACATACATACATACATACATACATACATACATACATACATACATACATACATACATACATATACATACATACATACATACATACATACATACATACACATACATACATACATACATACATACATACATACATACATACATACATACATACATACATACATACATACATAGATCATGGTTCACAAAAAAAGTCCCCCAGTCCCTCGGGATAAGGAGAAGTGTCATTTAACCTTTGTTCCTAAAAGCTAAAGCTTTGCTTTAAACTCCTTGTCTGAATGTTGCTTGTTTATAATTAAAGGCTAATTAAATATGTGCCATCATATCCAAAAGAGACACCAGATCAATGGCCTCCAATAGCAGGAGACCTGAGTGGATGGGGAGGGGCCTGCAATCAATCCATCAATAATGGCTGTTCCCTCAGGGAGCGGCATAATCAAATGAGACAGACACACACACACCCCTCCCCCTTTATCTGACTTCCTCCTTCTTTCTGCCTTCTCCATAAGCTCCTCTTGGATCCTTTTCTTCTTGTCCTTTTCTCAGCACCACTCTGTCACTCAGTGCCCTCCTCTTCTCCCCCCTCCTGTCCTAACCCACCCCCGTTGACATCTCCTAAATTCCAAGGGGACGGGACACACAAAAGCAAGGAATGCAGCTGGACTGGAGTGGAGGAGGAAGATGGAGATAGACGATGATGGACACAAGGCTGAGGCAGCTGGGGGTGAGGGACGGGCAGATTGATGGCGCACGGACAGCACGTATTCTGGTGAGCGATCGGGCCATAGCAGCAGATAAGCAGTGCTCAGATCGCCAAATAAAGTGGTTCCAATGCTGACGATTACATGACAAGTGGTTTAATGAGCTATATATTTTTATGGTGATGAGAAAGCCGAATCTGACATGAAAACTCTGACCTGCTTACTTGCTGTTTGTGAAGTGCATAGGCATATAAAGTATCTAAAGTATTCAAAATTGTATCCACAAAAACCTGTCGCAGGCTACTCAATTTTCTAGTAATAATTTAAAAGGTATCTTATCCCAATTAAAAACACCATCAGCTGGTAGCTCTACAAAATTTTCATTCACTCAAACTTTAATTTAACCAGGATAAAAAAACTCCTTGAGATTAAAAATCTCTTTTACAAGAGTGTCCTGGCAAGTGGCAGCAGCACGGTTACAAATAGATACAGAGACACTTATAGGTAAATACACAGACACACTTTTACTCTTCATATTCAAACAACGTCATCGTAAAAAACTGGGTCCTAAATCAATTTAAAAACAGTGACAGACAGACTGCCTTTCTGCAAGGTCCTTTAAAAAGCCTTTAAAAGAATAACTGTAGTTCATTCTGAAGCTGATTCCATGCTGCTGCAAAATTAAAAGCCTTTTTGCCAAAGTCAGTGCGGGATTTAGGGACAGTCAATAAAAACAGATCCTGTGAGCGCAGGTCATATGTCCCTGCAGGCCTTGGGATGATGTAAGGGTTCAGATGAGGAGGAAGAAGTCCTAACACTGCCTTATAAATAAAAAGATGCCAGTGCATCCAACGCCGAATGGAGAGGGAGAACCACCCGACCCGAGAATACAGCAAACAGTGATGAGAGAGATTTTAAGTTTGTGATGTACCTCAAGGCTCCATGAAACACAGTGTCCAAAGCGTGAAGACACTGGGAGGTTGAATACATGTATAAAATATCACCATAGTCCAAGACAGACAAGAATGTTGCATTTACAAGTTCAATTTAAATTTAACCAAATCTTGGACATGCAATATAAAAGACAGCAATTGGTCAATGGTAATGCCAAACTATTTGTAATGTGACACTTTTTCAATATCTGTACCAGAAAGTGTACAAATGTTTTTAGTTGATTTTCCCAGAGTGAAAGTCAAGACTTTAGTTTTTTTTAGAGTTTAGAACCAATTTTAAAGTAGCCAAATTATGTGGCAAGATCTTAAAAGTGGACTGTAAATTTGTGATTGCTTGACTTAATGCAGACCCAGAACAATAGAGAACAGTGTCATCAGCATAGTAATGATAGTTTGTATTTTTTATATTATTGCAGGAGGTTGTTTGTATAAATGATAAATAGAAGAGGCCCAAGGATTGAGCCTTGAGGCACCCCTTTTGAAATATTTAGGGAGGCAGAAGTGAGGCCGTCTACATGCACACA